TTTCTGAATGTAGTCTTGGACTCCATGTTATTACTGTCATTCACCACCCATGGTCTGGGGAATTGTCTTTGAATTTGATTTGGTATTTGAAAGTAGGTGTGTATATAAAAGTAAGTGGTATATAAAAGTAAGTGGTATATAAAAGTAAGTGTGTATATAAAAGTAAGTGGTATATGAAAGTAGGTGTGTATATAAAAGTGTATATATAAAAGTAAGTGGTATATAAAAGTAAGTGGTATATAAAAGTAAGTGTGTATATAAAAGTAAGTGGTATATAAAAGTAAGTGTGTATACAAAAGTAAGTGGTATATAAAAGTAAGTGTGTATATAAAAGTAAGTGGTATATAAATGTAAGTGTGTATATAAAAGTAAGTGGTATATGAAAGTAGGTGTGTATATAAAAGTAGGTGTGTATATAAAAGTAAGTGGTATATAAAAGTGTGTATATAAAAGTAAGTGGTATATAAAAGTAAGTGGTATATAAAAGTAAGTGGTATATAAAAGTAAGTGTGTATATAAAAGTAAGTGGTATATAAAAGTAAGTGGTATATAAAAGTAAGTGTGTATATAAAAGTAAGTGTGTATATAAAAGTAAGTGGTATGTGTCGATTTTATTTTACGATTTGATATAAAGTATAATTTTTATTTGCCATATTTTGCAGCAGGTACCGTATTATGTGATATATATCTACTATCTACCATTTAAAAGAAGATTATCGTGTGGCACTTGTTACAATAAAGCCGACAATTTTATTAGCCCCATGAGGTATTAAAGCATTGAAATTCAGAGTTATAAACTTTGATTATCCAGTATGTTGGCTAAGTAAGTGTTTAAAAGAATTTCTTATATGGCAATGTAGGGCTTCGTTTAATCGGTGTGTACAATCCCCGACTACTCCGACAGATCATTTTGAGATTATTTGCAAATTGAAAAGAACGTTTGAGATATGATGAAACGAAACAATGATTAATTAGCCTAGTAGTCGGAGGCTGTCGAAGGATTAAAGACACCGCCGTTTAATTGTGTAAAAGAGTACTTTCCTTTTCAAGGAGCTGTACTCGGACTGTTTTTTCTTTCTTTCTAAGGACTATTTTAATGGGTAACGGGATAATGGGTGAAATGAGGTGAACCTTGAGGCTATGAAGATTTCATTCCTGAACCTCAATGTCTGGTATTGCTGGTCGTTAAGGACATTTCCACCAGATGCGACCAAAATGTCAATGACAAATCTGGGAATGATGGATTTCATTACTGCATTATATTGGTCAAATATAGTCCGACAGTGTCTAATTCTCCTGGGTGCGATTGTTATTGATCTATATCAATGTCTTGATGTGCTAGCTGAGACAATTGATGAAGTCTTGTCGGTCTATTTCCTACAGTCTCTTGTGATTTATTCCATTATTTCTTCCATATATTATATACTTCTGCTGTCAAAACAAATCTTCTTATGCTGCGTCTAATATTGACAAACGACACGAGAGCGTCTTAAGCTAGTATTACACGATAATAGATCCGTATTCGAGGATAGTTACCGATATCCAAATTGATACAATTGTTTACGAATAGGTGGTTTAAATGACATATAGGGGATATTGAAAATTGACTACATGGTGCGTTTAATATTGACAAACGATACGATAGCGTCTTAAGCTATTATTAAACGGAGATAGATCCGTATTCAATACGGGATCAACCGGATCGAGATAGTTACTGTTATCCTAATTGATAGCTTTGTTATTCATTTAGGAGTAGGTGGTTTGAATGACGTGTTGAGAATATTGAGAATTGAAATCCATGGTCCATCTTATATTGACAAACGATACGAGAGCTCGTATTACACGACAATAGATCCGTATTAAATACGGGATCATCCGGATGGAAGATGGTTAGGCTACTGTTATCCATATTGATAGCATTGTTATTCAATCTATGAATAGCAGAGATATTTTTACATGCCAGGAAACGACTTTAAACGAAGGTTTCACTTTATTTTGGTGTCCACTTATATTTTTTAGATCGCAAAGGTATTAATCAATATAAATCACGACAATATCAATCCGTCTGGGAAAGTTTTATATAAGTCTAGGATGTCCCTAGATATTGGTTGTAATGTCTGGCTAAATAATGTTTTTTTCGGAAATCAATGCCTGGGGATGGGCAAAGTATGGGATTGCATTATTTTTTCAGCACTTTCTAAAGCCAACATTTATAACTTCCTCTGAACATTGCTCTTGATCAATCTGATCATTTTGAAATTGTGATCTCTGCTTTCCAAGAAAAATAACATAAACCAGATATGGTAAACAATTACGTCTACGTCTGTATAGTGCACGACGTAGACGACAAAGTAGTCACAAGGGAAAGAACAATTCATCTTAGCAATGTATAGTCTTTCATTTTAAATGGTTTTGTGTAATCCGAGCTTAATTAATATATTCCCTTAACATTACTCCCAGTAGAGATCGTCCAATGCCCACGAAGAGTATATCATTAATATTGTCAGTTATACTCTTGCTACGGAAATTAACAATAAGGTCGTAAATCTGTACGGTGCTTGATGAATTACATTATCGCCCACTCGCTGTAAGCGAATGGAGTTTGTAGCAAAGAAAACAAACATTACGTTGACACATGAATTGATGACGTTACAACACGTAAGTTTAATTCGGATTAGGCTAAGCTATATTAAGAATCCTTATAAATGATTTAATTTTATATCCAAGAAATTGACATAACTTCGGTGTCAAATATTGAGACATTCCATTTAGATATTTCGACATGTTTATTGTAAGAATATGTGACAAGTGATGGGCTGGTAAAAAATCCCAACGGACCAACAAGCCAAACAGAAGTAAAATATGGCGGGAAATGGGCTTTACTAAGTTCATTGATTACGCAATTGTTTAATACTGAACGAAACTGTTTTGGGAATTGATGTGTGCAATTGTAAAGGAAGATTCCAAGTGGTAATAAACCAACATTCGAACTGCTTTTGCTACAAGACGGGGTAAATTAGAACGGGACTGTGGTAGATTTGATTGACAAGCCTTGCGACTTACAAGACTGCCTCGGTTAATTATTGAAGACAGCATTACGTGACTAGAATTTTAAATTGATTTTGTACGTTGACGAAGCATTGATAGAAACCAATAGCAACAATCATACAACAAAACATAATGGTATAATAAAGAAATCTTTTATTATCGTTCCTGATTATTAGAAATTTATCATTTAAATCGATTTTAAAACGTGATCTGTCTAGAATTCCAACGTTCGATAAACCTCGACAATTTCCGTAAAGCTGAATCTACCTCAGTAATGAATCAACCGAATTCTTGTGTATTCTAAGGCGAGCCTCTTTACTTTGACGTTTTACCACTTACCACTTAAGTGATCGCAATATTGCGACCAGAAAATAGTCCTCAGCTTAAAGGGACAGATTCACCATTTTTTGGGGGTTGGTTTCAGTCTTGAACATATGTAAAAAGTGTCAAGAAGTACTAGGAATGTACGAAAATCGCGTATTCCTTCAAAAATATCTAAAAGTAGGAATTTCTCTTTCTAATTCTATAGATGTCTTTTCTATATATACGTGGCAGTGTCTCAAGAAAAGACAACTCGTCTTTTTAAGTTTCCACCGCGGATTTCAAGGCTCAAATTTCGATGGTGAGCTGTGAACACTATTACTGATTGGCTTAGCTAAATAATTCCTGTGCCTGAAACTAAGGTATGATTGGTTCAAATGGCATATCTGTCCCTTTAATAACCATTAGGCGATAAAATTTTAATGTTCACGTATGCATTAATTGCTATCAGCTGTTATATACTTATTATAATCATCTTGGATGAATTTCTTACAAAAAAATCAGTAATAGTGCTCTATCTCCCTTAAACATACATGCGCTGTTATAATCAACCGATAACAATTCGTTTTGATTATTTTGTGACTAATTGTGCGATAATATCTTGTAAATCAAACATAGTTGCTTTGTAAACAATGTATTTTGTCGGTCATAGATGTTATCTTTTATTATTAAATATTTCCTGCTTGTTTTCTGAGAAAAATCTAGATATATCAATAAGAAGATAATAGATACACGATTTTACAGGGAAATCCTTACACAGCACGATTGACGTGTTGATTAAAAAAATTTAAGGGATGTAGACATAGCCTACAGTGTGAAATGAGGTAAATTTTTCTTGGACAGTGGCAGTTTATTGTCAGATCAGAACTACTAGATGCCTTATCGATGTCAGCCCCACTGACCTGCATCACTGGCAGTAGGAAACCAGGTTAGAGAATCCAAAGATATTATCTCGACCTATGCAGGGTTGCACCCTGGAGCACGCTCAAACTCAACGAGCCATTGCTTTCCCAATTCCTGTCCTTTGAGCCTGTTATGTAAAAAGGCGGTATCGGGGCAGGCCCACAGCTCTATGGGGGTACAAGCCCCCGAACAATGAAATCTAGCTACAGGGATGTCTTGGGGAAGAGCCGCTTTTAGCATAAAACCTTTTTCAAACAAATAGTGGCATTTTGTGTTGCAAAGGCTAACGTTAATTTCGTTTGACATTTCCGTATCCCTCAGGCTATGGTAGACTAAAAATGGAAGCTTAGAATTCATATGGTTGTTTAGGCCGAGAAGAATATATAGTTCCTAACATATAGGATAAATGAAAACCAGTAGTTTTCCATCGCCCACTACATTACTCACATTGTCTGGGTTAGCGATCTAGACGAAAAGGGTAACATATTGCACTGTTGGAATGTTATAATGGTATGCTAGAATGGAATGTTACAATGCCACAATCAGGTCAAGTTGACCCAATATCGAGATTTTTATGAATGAAATCGGATGATAACTATGACGTCATTATGAATGAAAAGAAAAACGCTACAATACGGAGCATGCCAACAACAACTTTAAACAAATAGTCAGAGATTACCTAATCATGTCAGTCAGTTGAATATCTTTCGTCTTTACTCATTACAGCCATGGAAACATTGGTAGCATCTGGCACCGCATCTTCACATTGTCAAGGTATTACGAACTCCGTACTTATACCTTGACTGCAATAGTTACTTTGCTTGTATCCTGGAAGTTTGCAAATGAAGCGGTTTGAATTGATAGTACGCAAACAGCCAATGCGAGGCTTCGACAGAAAGTCTATGAACACAAAGCCTTAATACTTACAACTTACAACTTACTTTTTTGTCGGGGGCTCCTATTGGCTGTTTTCGCTGGTGTACTGGTCCAATCAAATCGCTGCATTCCATTCCAGTTTGTAAAATCTTGACATTGTGAAGATGCTGGCATCATAGAATACAATCAATAGCAGAAATACACAGATATAGATACATGAACATTATGTAGATCCCCGTAGAGAAACCATATTTGAAATGGTGCCCTAAGAAGTTACAGACTAGCCACTGCCTTTGGAATCTTCCCCTGGCAGGCTGGCACTGCTTATGACTTTCAGTAACAATTTTTCCATCGAATAGATGCAACGTCTTCCAACATTGTGAGCTGGTGCTCTATAGAGTATAGACGTACATAATTGGTTCTACTGCAATGGCAACAAAACCGTTCGTGGAAATTTATCGCCTGCAGACCGTTAATGAAAATAACATTAGGACTCGTGTTTGTATTCACCAAAACATCCACGAAAGGAAGTATTCCCTACCTACGTTAGACCACCCATCTATTTCGCATATACAAATAACATCATAAAAATAGGCTCTACAAGTACATGTAGCCTAAACAATAATCATTCATAAATTCGAACTGAAATCACAGAAGGTTAGAGATGATTTGTTTGATCTTAAGGCTATATTCCTGTCAGCTATGACGTCAGAATCGTCTTGAATGTTTTCTGAATTTCTCCAGTATGTTGTGAGTTAACAGAGTCAGTATCTGGTTTTGTAAAATTGTGCCCTAAAGCAAGATAGCAATATCAATTCAACAAATAAGGAGAAATGTTTTTACTTAATAATAATTTTCGAAATTTGTGTGTTTTTCAGGTACATTTATAGCTGGCCTGTCGATATTATGCTGCTCTCGTCTTCGGCATAAAAATGGCACCAAGTCGAATGTTGTATGGGTGAATTCTTATGTGGCCTTGTTACAGTTTTTGACAACTTTTCTATTTTTATTGGGTTGGATTTGGAGCATTATGTGGGGAGTGGCATTTCTCTCCGTTTCAGGTACGGTGCCAATTTTTTACTCGCTATTTCTTACAGGAAATGAAATGAAGCCTAAGGACTTATGCTTCTGCAGAAAATTGGAATTTATCAGCTTAGCCGAATGATAAGCTCTACAAATAGAGAAAGAAGTTATTTAAGAGAAGGTTTCGTTGACTTAAGTCTTCAGATGTAATCACTGAAATGAAAGTTGTTTATTAAAACTCTTCTCTCTCGGGCGATTATAAAATTCAGCTGCAGGAAACCGGAAACATATGAGATGAAACAAATTGCTACATTTTCTTTAGAAAAGAGCAGGTGATGATGTTAATTAGGATTCGAAGGAAACAAGCGCTCCTGTTTGGTGGCTGAATGTTGGACAGGACCAAATCTCGTTGGTGTAGTGGACCTAATTCTGTTACTTGTAAAATTAAGAGTCCGTGTTAATCTTTTTGGCTAAATGTAGGACAGACCATGTATTAGTTGACAGTGGGCCTTATTTTAGCCAGATTAAAATACGGGGTTCATTATGATTATTTTTATTTTCATTTCAGAGTACTACAAACACAAAGACCCTGAACACGACAAGAAGGATCACAATCATCATCATCATCATCACCATAATGAGCATCACCATCATCACGGTAATCATCAACAGCATCACCTCAGCAAAATATCCTCCATTCCAGAAGATAGCCATACTGACTTGGTCGATACCGATACCAGTAATATACATAGTAACGGTACGAACAGTAGTAGTACGCCACATGCGTATAATCATACTCACGAATTGTACGTAGCACCAGCCCCGCCTGCAAACCAAACTCAGCCTATGATAGTTTTACAACATCCACCTGTCAATCATTCCGATAAAACCAAGAATGCCGATCCCCTTCTTGTCGCTCGCACACGGCACCAAAAGATCATTCAGAGACAAATGTCGGATAACCAGTTATCTCCCTTTAATTTGACCCACCAACATCTGGAAGCCATTGTGATCCACGATGCCCCGATACCCCGGCTTCAGAGAACAGAGACAATCGACAGTACTAATTCATCTACTGCTGCTGAATCTAATGGTGTTGCTGTGTCTACGTGATTCCAAACAGCCTCTTGTGTCCACGTGATTTAAGATAGAATCGTGTATCTAGGAAAATTTCAATAGCCTCGTGTTTCCAGGTAATTTCAAATAGCGTCGTGTATCCACGTGTTTTCAATGTGTTATTTCAACCAATTGAAGTGTTCTTTGATCAAGTATGTGAAAGAGGTCGCTATATATCAATATTAAACTATTGTCGTTATAATCTTTGAGGAAGGAAAAGGAAGTTGCAAATGGGAATAAAACACTTGAGGGCAACAGAAGGGGACATTACTTCCTTGTGTATTCACAAATTATTGATTTATTATTGATGGACTACAAAGAGAAATTTATTTGAAAATTGAACTATCAGCACGTGCTTTTAAATGTCAATACACCCTTAGCTTGGCGCCTTTTCCACGCCTTCTGTATATAACCTGGCACTGGTGCTTTAAAGTATATATGGTGCTGGACCTTTATTTTGTTAAATACAATAAGATGTATGATATAGTCTATATATATTCAAGAAACTCGAAGAATTTAACCATTAAATCATGATCGTTGGGAGATTGAGCCTTGGGAAGATTGTGATTTTTCTGCAAAATATATTTGTAATGAACCGGGTTACATTAAATATATGAGAAATTTGGCCGCTGATGCTTCTGTACTTGTAGAATCATTGGACCCTCCTGCTTCGCCCACGTTCGTGTTAACAATATCGTCAGAGCAGTTATGTGGTTATAGCATTAAAAGCATATTATATATATGGAATTCCAAATGCACCCAACGCTTGAATGCAGCAAAGGATTTTTCTATATAGCGTGTGATGTCGCTAAAGAATCATTTGGATTGTAGGTCACATATGTGATGAAATTTCGAGTATCTCTGCTGTACGACATTGAGCGAAGATTTCATGAAGGTTATTTGTCTCTATTATATAATTATTACGTATTTTATTATTTTACATTTTAAATTTCTTATTTGGCGTTATATTCAACACGATTGGAATATGCAAAGATGCACTGGCAACCTCTTTCAACGAGCAATGGTCACAGCAGTTCGGGTTACCTTTCGCCACTTTTTGACGATACGATAATCATAGCTAGGGTAATGATATGAATATATCTTACCACCAGAATATATAAAACAATTGGAATCGACAGAGCACGGAAATAATTTGACTGTCACGCATTTACGTTCCGACCTAGCTACTTCTGTTCTGATGGCTGAAGCTACAACTATCTAATAAATATTTAAATCCGCTAGTACATATAGAGCATTAAAGGGATTGTAAAGAGGTTTTCTAAATTTGTCATGTGTTTTGGGGACACAGATAGCATCAATTTGCAACATTCCAATTACCAATCAGACGTGGTTCCTGCATCCTAATGTATAGCTTATTTTGCGATAAGTGATGTCATCGAACGCTTAGTGTAATTGAAATCACAGGAACCACAGGCGTGTGACTAAAACTAGGAATGGTGCAAATTGATGCTAGCAGTGTCCGCGGTACAGATAACAAATTAAGAAAACCTCTTTACAATCTCTTTAATATACCCTTGCTTATACCTACATAAAGCTATTTAGGTTTTGCTTTATGGAACACGAGGGTGTTGTGAACCCTTATTACTATCTGGTGTGATATCACTAAAAAATCAAATACTCTCCATGTACGAAATAAATGGAATGAAGGGAGGCAACTCTGCGACCAAAATTATTTTAATCACCGCCTGACTACAATGTTTACAGAATCGCGTTTTAAAATTGAAATTGATATAGATTGAAATGTCAACTCCAAGATACTATTGTTGACAATTTGCACCACGGAAACGTTCAGTGAGGGAAGAAGAGTAATTAATACTATCATAATATCATTAAACCTTATAAATATTGTATTTCTATGGATCCGGAGACATTAATAGATAAATGGATAAAAAAAAAATCCTGAAAATAGGATCGTGGGTGGGTTGTATCGGAGACGTCGGTCAAAATATGAAACTTATACGCACAATTTATTTTAAAAAGGATTCCAGCAATCTCGACCGTTGTACCGTGCTTTGCTTAAAATGATTTTGGTGCCCATTATTGAGGTGTGGTTGCGTATGGCCGATAGTTAATAAAATTTCCATATAAAAATTCTAAATTAAATCTATTTGTAATTGTTGACCTGACCGACGAAGTGTCGCCTTTAATATTTTTACCGTTTCTCTTCGATATATATACTCCCTGTCTGTCCTTGCATTACTTTTGACCTGTCCCTATAACACTTATAGTTTGCTCTGGAATTTTATAATGATTGTGTGATTGTGATCGTATGGGACACAACTCTAATGAAAGTGACTATTATGGCAAACGTCAACATTATGACGAAGCACACGAACCAGGAATTTTGATCCGTGCTAGACTCTCCAAACCAGTCCCGTAACAAGATTTTTATTGTTTGGGGAACAAGTAATATATTCAGAGGGGCAATGGTGTTTGGTGTTTGTAGCTACGGTAGTGTCAAATGTGAGACTCGTATTTCAGTATTAATCGCTTTGTTTACAATTTGAGCTTTGATGTCTGCGTCTTCTTTATTGTTTCGTTGTAAACTTTCTGCAACAAGAAACGAAACTATGTTCCATTAAAGAATATATATATATATATAACTATGTACAATGCCATTATGTAACAATATTATTTTTGTGTTTGATTCATTGTGATTCATTAATAAATATTTTCTACTCACGACTCATTTTGGGATATTTTTGAGCTTATCTTCCAACTGTTAATCAAAGGAAAAGGGTATGCGATGGAATACTGTTACAAGAAAGGACAGATAAACAAAAACAACGGTAATGTGAAACAGTAAATCTCGGTTAGATTTCCTGGAAGGGAGAGTTTTACTTCTTCTAAATATTCAGATCTTGATTAGTACAAGTACAGTGGCGGTGCTAGTGGGGATACAAGAGGGGGGAGGGGGAGGGGGCTATCCCCAAAAGAAAATGGTTTCTACTCCATTTGTACCCCACTTCATTTCAAATGCATTTCAGAATGCATCTGATCTATAAATTTTGTCAAGAACTTTCTTTTGGGAAGCTTGCGCCAATGCGCTTCTACAGAGCTGCCGAATTTGAATCTCAGCCTCGACAGTCCCTCATTGATTCAGTCTGCCTCCTATTTTATTTTCAATTATATTCAAAATAGATGTTCTATAGATGTATCTTCACCATGTCCAGCTATTACGAACCTTGTCTTATACCTTGGCTGAAATAAATACTTTTCTTGAATTAAAGAAGTTTGTCAATGCAACAATTTGATACACTACCAATTACAGCCTAGTGGCATGTCTAGTGGCAAAACTTTCAATATTTTTGTTGCCGAAACAAGCATATCAATAAATAAGACTATAATTGGTTTGATATCTATTTATTTCTTATTCATTATGATTATTAAGAAAATAATTTATGAGAATAATATGTGTATGTAATTATAACGAATGTGAATTATATAAATAATATAGAAAACGTTGATAATGTTTATATAAATATTTATTTAAAGTTAATAAGAGTTATTATATCATATACATAAGACTGAAATATCGTTAAAGCTTTCACCAAAGGCTAAAGGTATATATCCGTTTCTATCTGTTGGTAAAGCACAGAATTCGACGTGTATATACTTTTATAAAATTCATTATAAACGATCTTATGACTTGATGGATAGGAAGTACAAAGAAATTTAACTTAGATTAAAACTGAATCTTGTCCAAGGACTCAACTCATTAAGTTGAGCCACTGAATCTGCTGCTGTTAACACAACTCCATCATTAGGAAGAGGTAGTGGTAGTTTTCTGTACATCAACTATCAGTATCAGACCTGCCAGGACATACAGTACACCTCCAACAATGGTCAGAGCGAATGAGTAGCCATATTCATAGCCAGTAGGTTTATCTGTAGCAAATACTATTATACCAATAAATACCAATAAACCTACAAATAGAAAGCGGTGTTACTACTACACGGTGTCTTCTCATATCGCCCCCTTTTTATATTGGCTTTTCTCCATTTCGGTCCGATGAGATGGGGAAGGGGTGAAATGATCAAGGGGTGGATTGCAGCAGAGGTGGAAATGATAATGGTAGGAATAGGACAGAGGAGAAACGAAAAAACAGGAATCGCGAAGGGGCACATTGGAAACGAGCGAAATGGGAAGTGATTGTGGCCATGGGAATGACCAAATCAACTATTCCAGTCCAAATAGAAATAGTAGAATTATTTGAAGATTCACTTACCAGCACAGAAAGATGATCCATTGATTAAAATTGTAATAATCTTCTTCTGTTTCACGAAAATAGACAACAACTGTAACACAATACTGGCAAATCCAAAAATAAAAGCCAAGGTTTCAAAAGCACGTGTTGTCTTTAATTCTATGGCTGGAAATGAGAAAAGTTGCAGAAAAAGACTTTTTTTAATGATTTTGATATTCGCCCAGACATTTTGATCGATCCTTAAATTAAATGATTGATTGCTCCTTGTGGTCATGGTCAACGCCATGTTTTGTGCAGTGATGGAAAATTTGTCAAAACCTTGTTTAAGGCCATTGTTTAAAGTGATTTGACCATACCAGCGCCTCCGACATGCATCACTAACAGGGTAGAAACCTGTGTTGAAATCGAGTTCAATGTCGATCCTGTTGGGATCATACCCAGACTCCTGATAAGAAAGCAAGTGTTTTACTAATTTAACTCTCGAGAATATATAAGAAAGAGGAGCAACTTACTTGAGGCAGATTGTGGAATGTCCATACATCCTTCAGTGTAGTTGGTGCTGGTACACAGTCTCCACAAGCCTTGGTTATAACTGTATTTATAAAGAGCTAGGGGTCGGTCATAACTCTCCCAAAAATCAGTCGAATACCCGATAATCTGCACAATTAAAGCAACAATGGTCACAACCAAACCAACTTTCACAAAAACTGTGGTATCCTTGATCGCCATTTTGATTATCAACGCTCTGTAAGCTTCAAACTTTCTCGCCAAATCTTTTCCAAACGGTACCACAGTTTTCTTTGTCACCTAAAACCACGCCACCAAACCTCACATCACAACCAAAATTTCAAGAATGAACGTTTCCGCAAAACGAACGACTATTAATTCAAAGTAACGGAAGTCAAAGTTAAATTTATATAAACAATTTATCGTAAATGAATACTAAAATATAGCCTAAGATATAGAAATGAATGAGTTTCCCATATCTATTTGAGAATTAGTCCAACAGACATAACAGGAAATTCGTTTGGTAAATGAATATCATTATTGGTTAAACTAATTTGTTACCAATGCTGCCATTGAACGTTTGAGTCTTCGAAATTGTTGATTTTGTAGTATCTTGTCAAAGGCAATAATTAGGCATATGTATATAGAATGTTTCTGACCTCGGTGATGTTATCTTTACTCGGGTTCAGTAGCCTAGCTGTAATAGGGTACTGAATAAGCCATCTATCCTCACTATTCCAGTCGACCCAGCTGTAATAGGGTACTGAATAAGCCACCTATCCTCACTATTCCAGTCGACCCAGCTGTAATAGGGTACTGAATAAGCCATCTATCCTCATTATTCCAATCGACCCAGCTGTAATAGGGTACTGAATAAGCCATCTATCCTCACTATTCCAGTCGACCCAGCTGTAATAGGGTACTGAATAAGCCATCTATCCTTACTATTCCAGTCGACCCAGCTGTAATAGGGTATTGAATAAGCCATCTATCCTCACTATTCCAATCGACCCAGCTGTAATAGGGTACTGAATAAACCATCTATCCTCACTATTCCAGTCGACCCAGCTGTAATAGGGTACTGAATAAGCCATCTATCCTCACTATTCCAATCGACCCAGCTGTAATAGGGTACTGAATAAGCCATCTATCCTCACTATTCCAGTCGAATTAGCTGTAATAGGGTACTGAATAAGCCATCTTTCCTCACTATTCCAGTCGACCCAGTTGTAATAGGGTACTGAATAAGCCATCTATCCTCACTATTCCAGTCGTCCCAGCTGTAATAGGGTACTGAATAAGCCATCTATCCTCACTATTCCAATCGACCCAGCTGTAATAGGGTACTGAATAAGCCATCTATCCTTACTATTCCAGTCTACCCAGCTGTAATAGGGTATTGAATAAGCCATCTATCCTCACTATTCCAGTCGAATTAGCTGTAATAGGGTACTGAATAAGCCATCTATCCTCACTATTCAAGTCGACCCAGCTGTAATAGGGTACTGAATAAGCCATCTATCCTCACTATTCCAATCGACCCAGCTGTAATAGGGTACTGAATAAGCCACCTATGCTCACTATTCCAATCGACCCAGCTGTAATAGGGTACTGAATAAGCCATCTATCCTCACTATTCCAGTCGACCCAGTTGTAATAGAGTACTGAATAAACCATCTATCCTCACTATTCCAGTCGACCCAGCTGTAATAGGGTACTGAATAAGCCATTTATCCTCACTATTCCAGTCGTCCCAGCTGTAATAGGGTACTGAATAAACCATCTATCCTCACTATTCCAGTTGACCCACTTGTAATAGGGTACTGAATAAGCCACCTATCCTCACTATTCCAGTCGACCCAGTTGTAATAGGATACTGAATAAGCCATCTATCCTCACTATTCCAGTCGACCCAGTTGTAATAGGGTACTTAATAAGCCACCTATCCTCACTATTCCAGTCGACCCAGTTGTAATAGGGTACTGAATAAGCCATCTATCCTCACTATTCCAGTCGACCCAGCTGTAATAGGATACTGATTAAGCCATCTATCCTCACTATTCCAGTCGACCCAGCTGTAATAGGATACTGAATAAGCCATCTATCCTTACTATTCCAGTCGACCCAGTTGTAATAGGGTACTGAATAAGCCATCTATCCTCACTATTCCAGTCGACCCAGCTGTAATAGGGTACTGAATAAGCCATCTATCCTTACTATTCCAGTCGACCCAGTTGTAAAAGGGTACTGAATAAGCCATCTAGTATCCTTACTATTCCAGTCGACCCAGCTGTAATAGGATACTGAATAAGCCATCTATCCTCACTATTCCAGTCGACCCAGTTGTAATAGGGTACTGAATAAGCCATCTATCCTTACTATTCCAGTCGACCCAGTTGTAATAGGGTACTGAATAAGCCATCTATCCTTACTATTCCAGTCGACCCAGTTGTAATAGGGTACTGAATAAGCCATCTTTCCTCACTATTCCAGTCGACCCAGTTGTAATAGGGTACTGAATAAGCCATCTTTCCTTACTATTCCAGTCGACCCAGTTGTAATAGGGTACTGAATAAGCCATCTATCTTTACTATTCCAGTCGACCCAGCTGAATAGGATACTGAATAAGCCATCTATCCTCACTATTCCAGTCGATCCAGCTGTAAAAGGGTACTGAATAAGCCATCTTTTCTCACTATTCCAGTCGACCCAGTTGTAAATTGGAACGTACCATCCGGGAAAGATAAGGGACCGCTAGTAGACAAGATCCTCGAAATCTTGTTTCATTCCCCAAAGTAAATGAAATGGTGACGTCATTACATCCAATGCTACTTCGTCGGTTTATGTAGCGTAGATAGGATTTGGTGCAGTCAAAAAGTAATAAATACGTTATTGAAGCTTTTAATGAAAAAGATATGTACGACTTTAAAGAAACCAGGACTGTAACCAGTCTGTTCGAACTGGCAAGTAATATATCTGGAGGGGCAAGTAATATATCTGAGGGGCAAGTAATATATTCGGAGGTGAATAGTGTTTAGTTGCAGTAATGGAATTGGTCGTTTGTCAGACTTTTTTCAGGGGGGTAATTGAAACTGTAGCCTACTTCACATGAATAGTATTTCATGGTCATATTTTTAAAAGTCCACCAATATTTATTAAGTTCATCTTGAACTATAGGACATAGGTTATTTAAAATGACTATGTTACCTAGATCTCGAGGAATGCTGCTGAAATTTTATGAAAGTCAATATCTACATGTTTGGGGAGGAAAACACGTGATGTTGTGCTAGATTCAGTAAAGGTATTACTACCTCTAGAAGCATGGTTTATATACATTTTCATCAAAGGAAACCAGATCTATGTTTATTACTAGTTTCGAGGATCCAAACGACTAACGATACTAACGAGAGGGGGCCATACAATTACCCAGAGGGGCCACAGGCAATTCTTTCACTTTCATAAAAAAAAGTGGGAGGGAGGAGCCGGATCAGTCTCTATATATCCACCCCCTTTTAGATCCGCCACTGCGTCATAACTCTCTCAATTATTGGTCAAATACCAGATTATCTGAACAATGAAAGCAACAATGGTAACAAATAAGCCATCTTTGACAAAAACTCTGGTATACATGTTCTGTGGGACCATATTAGTTATCAACAATTTATTGATAATTATGATTAGATGAGTTTCTAGCTTTAAAAAAACTTAAAGAATAAATGTTATCCAAAGGTCAAATTCGTTTAACCAAACAAGACTGTATTATAAATAGCTGACACCATGTCTCGACCCATTATTATATAGTCATCTAACCTTGGTCTGGGTTGGCAAAGATACTATAGAAAGAGAAATGTATATTCTTGCTATTGCTGTAATAACATTAGCGATTCATAACGTGGATTGTGTATGTAATAAGGATACGGGTCCCGTCGGCATCAGTGAATGTATACAAACCTCCAGTTACGGTAACGGCTACCAATGGCAAACGTGTGTAAGTGACGCTTACATCAAGGTTATAACCAATGGAAGACAAGGATGCGATGGTTCCAAAGCATTTTGTTATTATCCTTGTATGGCTGATAAATTCCAGAAAACCAATGGTTCCATTGTGGAGGAATGTTCCTGCAAGCCTGGAGAAATGTTGCAGTCTAAGAATATGACCCTGCCACTCCGCTGCTATAACCCTTCCGGTGTGGACTGTAGCTGGTATGCGGAATGTCTGGAGAAAGAGTTCCCTTGTACTGGAGATAAAGATGATTACGGTATAGCATTTGCTCACAAATACTGTGCTAAATTTGGAGATCGATATAGTAAATTTGGCAAAGAGGGACAAAAATGGATTGACCTTTCCAGGAAATGTTTGCAAGAGAAATTAGTTCCCCTGCTTTACTCAACAACTCCACCGTCCTGTAATTATGTCAAAGAATTTGCTTTCAAATCACACATACCGTGCTACCTTCAACCATCTCAACAAGTACCGGAAGTGTCTGTATGCAAATTAGGTGCCTTGGATTTCTTCAAACTATTTTGGACATTAAAGGAAACTTTAGTTTCGTCTGTAGATATTTCAGTTTCTGTTATCACAAGTTTTTTCAAAATACTTCGAGATTGTTGATTATTTTAGTTGTAAAATAAAATGTTTCTCTTTCACACTTGATTATATGGTTCGCTTTTTCGCTGAAATTTATAAACATTTTGTCTTCGCTGGAGTGTTACAATCATAAAGTTATAAAATGGTTACAATGCATGTGAACCAAAAATATGGGTTGGCTTTATTTACTGTTTCTCCCAAAAATAAAATAATCCACACTTATTCTTATAATAATATTATTTATTATACGGGGCTCTGTTTCAAATCAAAGTAGCTGTACACAGAGAGATTACACTTATTCTGAAAACTATTGTACGATCGTTTATAATATTTGGCGCCTGGCAGGGTATGCTGATACCACCTTTCATTATGACATACTTACTAAATTATAATTGACATTCTTCCTCATGTGAAAAGTCCATTAGCTGCTACCAATGCCTTGCTAATATATTGTTTGTATTTCGGGTTTCGTTTTGCGGTTCGAATCGTTCGTACTTGGTTTATTTACACAACTTCATACGGTTCGTGAGTAGTTCAAAGAACCAGATCTTTTATATACACCCTCATCATACCGAGCAATATTAGGTATATGAAATATCCGAAAGAGAGTCTTTAAACCGGTCACACAATGACATGCCCTGCCTTGCAAGTGGTACCCTCAATTATTATCAAAGTGCAACTCAAATTCAGATTTTAAACTTTCACTCTGATTCCTAAACACTATATCGATATACCGTTATATACAATTCTGTGCAAGTTTTCAAATAACATTACACTGTATTTTAAAGAGTTGTGTCCCTTCAATATTTCATCCGTCTGATCCTACATTCTGCCATTCAATATACAACATGAATAAATAGGATTTAATGTTAAAGAGCTTACACTATAACAACAAAAGGACATTTGACTATGAGCTTAAAAAATAAACAGTGCAAGACTATTAAAATAATGTCCATTTGCCGCTTCTGAGACGAGAGTCATAGTGTTTTTACCATAAATTTGGAATCACATCCCGTCTTGACTGAACAGGCCAGGAGCTTCAAGAGGACAGAGGAGGGGGCAGCACTGACATGAACCTTGGTGGGGAAGCTTCTACAAGGTTTCCGAGGTTTCGAATGGCCCTATAAGGGCAAGCACTATTTGCTCATTTACCCCTGCCCCAAAAAAGATGAAATTGTTAATAAGTATCTAACAGATAATAGTGTCATCTATGTTTTGTATATAAGTAGAATACTAAGTCCACGACCAAACCCCCTCACCCCAACCTCTAAGGGGCCCACCCATAGAAAAATATGTCGGGGGCATATGTGGAAAGAAAAAAGTCACGAGGAAGGGGCCCACTTAAGACCACGGGCCCACTCATCTAATCGCTGTACAATTGTAAGTATTTGAAAACTGTTGATTAAAGAAATGTTATAGGTTCCGTTTCTCTGGCATTCCTCACTAATCCAATAGGAAAGCACAAACAGTTGACGGATTCATTTATGTTAACATGTATAGTTCAATAGAATTACCATACCAATGATATTATCACCACCGCAACTAAGTTGATCATTATAAAGATGATATAAGGCATATTAGCATGTAAAGAGACGGTTACATTGGTCAATTATATATACACGGCTCCAATTTCTCTTTCAACCAATAGCATCTTGTCGTTAGATTGTGACAATCCTACCGAGATCGCAATGATTGGAAATAACTTATTGATAAACATCGTCTGCTACAAATTCTGTCATTTATGTCTTGACCGCGTTGCCAGATCAATTATTATTGATACTTGAAAGACTGAGTTGTAAATTTCTGCTGCCAATTTATGTGTTGACTGCGTTGCCAGATCAAGTTTAATTGTTCCATTATTGTTACTTGAAAGATAAGGCAGTAAATTTCCGTTAATATGGCGTCAAGACATTTTTCGAAATATTACTTGTGTTTTTTAGCCTGGTGTAAAGTTGTTTTGAGTTTAAATCAGAACTGTTGGTTGTCTGGTTTTACCAGAGATTCTGTGACGTGTCGTGGTTGGAACTTTACCCAGATTCCTGATAATCTGCCTTCAAATATTACTAAATTGTAAGTTTTGATTGTTTTCTATTTTTCGGTTATTAACAATGCAATTTTTTTTCTTTTATTGCCAGACTCTTTGTTATTTATAGACCAAGTGTACTGAATGAAAATTCGATTGACTTTTTAAATCGAAATCTATTTCGTTGTGTCACTCTATTTTGTTTATAGTAAAAATTCTACTATGTCATCGACATTGTATACATAATTCAATATTAAAATAAATTTGATCTATTTTTTCAAAATTTACTTATCCTGCCGCATTCTGAAATCAGTGGCGTTTCAGCGAAACATAAGGTGAGAGGTCGGTCAACAAATTTTCTTGGAGGACCACAGTCATTTCTTTAACTGTTTAAAGGTGTGGGGGTAGGTGCAAAGACAGGCCATTCTCTTTTCTGGATGTGTATGATCCCCCATCCGTAGAAACGTCACTGCCTGAAATGTTTATATCAGAGACAAATTTGAGTTCATGCTACATGTTAGAATGAGAATTAGACCTATTCACAGATGAAACTACAAAAATCAATGTCCATAAATGATCAATTCATCAAGAGCCCAATCCTCAAAACTTCCATCTGGAAGATAACGTCTAATTATGAACGGAATTTTCCTTGCTTTCATTTCTTTCATAGCAATTTGTAGGGGATCTGTTTCACCTTCCAACTCCACCATGACCGGAGCACACATAGCAATCTGTAACGCTCTAGTTCCCAATACTCGAATAATCTTAGTATTACTTAAAATATGTGGGGTAGGTGCAAAGACGGGCCATTCTCTTTTCTGGGTGGCTATGATCCCCCACCCGTAGAAACACCATTGCCTGAAATATTTATATCAGAGGCAAATTTATAAATTTGATTGACTGTCAAGGTTCATGATATTTAGAAAACTTGTTAAACTATTATAGAAAAGTTTAGCCATTGACTGATTCTCAAGACCCACAAATAGACTGAACCAGAATACTCTTTGTATTACTTAAAATATCAACATAGAATCAAAATCTTTATCTGTCCATCAATGTCGAACTTTTATGATACATGCAAACGTTCTTTTTACTTTTGGCTCAATGTTTAACTCTTAGAAGGGAAAGGATTATTTAGCCGAAAAAAAAATCTGATCCTTATCTAATGTATTTATCTAACCTAGATTTATACTGTAAACAGATCTCCTTTCTCTTTTTCAAATTCCATTAGGTTTGGAAATTACTTACAGACTTTCTCTCTAAAATAATTTTGTTTTCGTTACGAAGATATAAATGCTTTTCCATCTATAAATATAAAGGTTAGAAGTACTTCTTGAAACAAACTGAAGGTTAACGGTTTAAATCTTTCTTTCGGAAAGTTGTGGCTCAATGGGTTGTATGCTTGCATAGGTCGATAGCTTCCTTCGAATATTTCATCACCGTTGTCCCCTGTCAGCGATACAGATCGTGAAAAATTTCCGAATGGAACAATAAATCGAAACCGCATGTGTTACAGATTGTGCTCGTTAAAGATCCCTCGACACTTGGAATTCTATTAAGAAGAGGTTAATGCCGTTGTCGTGGCAAAATTTTCCATTAATGCACATTGTACATGCACATTGCGTTGTTCGTCTTCATTATCCAAATCTGGAGCAGAAAATACACGTTAAAAACCATTTCATTTCGTTCCGCTGACATTGGCTGTGTTCATTATCCCAATCAGATACAGAAAATACACGTTAAAGGCCATTTCATTTCATTGTTATAGAGAGGTTGTTTTTACTGGTGTCGTTGGCCTTGGCTTCTTCATTATCCAAATCAGATACAGAACAATTACGTTAAAAACCATTTCATGTCATTGCTTTAGAGTTTTTTTTTATACTGGCGTTGTTCGTCATGGCTGTATCATCATGGCTGTCTTCATTATCCAAATCAGGTACAGACAATACACGTTAAAAACCATTTCATTTCATTGCTAGAGAGGTTTTTTTTACTGGCGTCGCTGACATTGGCTGTCTTTATGATACAAATCAGTAGCAGAAAAACACGTTAAAAACCATTTCATTTCATTGCTCGGAAGGTTGTATTTTACTGTTATGTTATTAAGTCCACTGTCTGGTTGGTGACAGTTTTAACCAATAATCTGTCCTTATTATTGTCCAATTCCTATCCTTTCATAAAAAAAACAAGCTAATATTTGTCAGTTAGAAGTCATTGGTGTGTGAACCTTGTGTCTATAACGCACTATATTATTGACAATATTGACATCTAAAGAAAACTAAAATTCTGTTAGGATCAACATATTAATTTTAGGGTTATGTTTGTTAAAACAATGACATTCTCAACCTAATTGACTTCAGATAAACATCGCGCTTTTCAAATGAAAAAATTTCGCATCAGGTACCTCTACAATTAGATAAAATTTGTTACGATAGTTCCCGTGATTCTCCCGCAAACTTCTGTCTCCGTTAATGAGGTCTTAACATCTTTAATCTCTTGGCGGCATTTACCTCAAATCATCAAAGAAAACAAAATGGTGACATTTTCCAGTACAGTTCAAGATGTTATCGATACTTATTAAAACAAAGGGTCTTTGCGATTGTGACGCCAAACAATGCTTACTTATAATTGCAAGAACCACAGACGTTTTACTGAAAATTAGAATAGTACAAAGCGGTGCTATTTAAACGCTTAGTTTTAATGAAATAGAGAATTGGAATGTCGCAAATTAATGCTATGAGTGTCCCCAATACTCATAATAAGTTTTAAAAACCTCTTAACAATCATTTTAACATTATTAATCTTCGAGTTTGGTATCAATGGAGGTCGAATAACAAGTTCTAGTGTTATGAAGGGAACCATTAGAGTATTTCTCGTGGGTTCAATTTAGAGTGAAATTATACTAGCACTGATAATCATGTCTTTAAAGTAGTACAATCATAATTTAGATATATTCCTGACGGGCCAACTTCTTTAATGAAAATTTGCAAGTCCCAAAAGTCAGAAGGACGAAAATGGCTGGTTGTACCAGTTGATATAAATTGTAGTATCTCGTTACACTTTTCACATTTAATATCCGACGCACAGTTCTATTTTCCACAGCAAATTTGGTCAACCTGGAAATAAAGAAGAAGGAGAATTTCAATTTGTCTAGGTATGCATTCCCTGCCTACATCAATTTATATTCTGAATAATGGATTACTAACTCTGATTTGTCAAATATGACTGAGTAGCTGAATGTTGAGTCTGCACAGATTTATTTTCTATATTTTCTATATCTATACATCTTATTTCATATATCACTCTTCACAAAATTCTGTCGGATAGCTCATAACGATATTATAAATATAACTTACAGTAATGTAGCTACAGGAGAGGAGAGGGGCTGGGGACTGCCACCCTGAAAAATTCTGACAACCGACACATTTCATTACCGCAACTAAACACAATACACCATTGCTCCTCCAGATATATTTAATTGCCTCTCCGAACAACCAAATCTAGCCACAGTCGTGATAACTTATTTGATATAAGCATGTGATAACTCACACTATATTAAGCCTCAAATTGGAAATTCTTTTTGGTGTAAAAACGTCAAGTTCAACGTATGTTTTATATTTTTATATTTATGTAAAAAATGTCTAATTAGATTTGGATATCAGTGAATTAAACACCAAGAAAGTGTCGGAATATTACACTGTATCTAACTAATTTAATTAATATGTCTACTTTATAATCAACCTCAATTTTAAAGGGATTGTGAAGAGATTATCTAAACCTTTTATATAAATTGGGGACAATAATAGAATTCATCTTGACCATTCCAATTTTCAATCAGACGTCTGTGGTTCTTGCAATTTCATTTAAATATTTTATGTCGTCAATATCGTAAAGTATCTAAAGATATAAGGGTCTTTGCAATACTGACGCTAAGTTTTAGTCGAATTGCAAAATAACACATACTGCATGTAACTGAGAATTGATGCTATCAGTATCAGTGTCACAATACACATACAACTTTTATAAAACCTCCTTACGATCCCTTTAAGCACCTTAATACAATTACCTTTGTTTTCATAATTCACCGACATCAAGTCTAATTCATTTATTATATTTAGTTATCTACTAATTAAATTTGAGGTCCTTGATCAAAATAAATAAGACAACATTAAAGGGAAAGTATAGTCTAAATATTTGCTTTACCAGCTTTTTTTTTTAAAGATAAAAAATAAAATCAGGTTCGTCTGTAATTTGTAAAAGAAAACGTACGGGCGGAGATGACGACAATATGTAAGTATCCAAGTATCCAAATACCCTTTGACGAGTAGCGAAAGCATGTTACATAGATACCTAATAACTACTTCATAACCTACAAAAGCTCCAAACCAGTCTGTCTGTATCCCTTTTTATAATGTATTGTTCGTTGACAATAAAATACGTACTAGGGGAAGTTTTAACTTTCCAGGAACCTCTGTCACTCTCGATAAAATCATTAACACATTGTCTATATCTTTTATACATTTTTGTCTGCAGAAATTTTAGTTTTCTTTAAGGACAGCAGTAATAAATACTAGTACATGAAAAGAATACTTAATCTAAGGCTTTCCCTAGAACTTTTAGAATTTAAGGTCGTTCACAATAAGTTAAAAATTTACGAGAGGAAGTTATAAGCTTCCAGAATAGTTACACCACCGTCTCTCTTGTCAGTTAAAGTGTTGACACATTGTTTTCATCCTTCAGTTTATTTCTCTCCAGATATTTAAAATTTATTACAATTCTTTAATCCATCAGTGAGATATATAAGTACATAAAACAGTACATCATTTTCTAAAAATAGCTACATTATTTGCTGGAAACGTTATTACATCTCTTATAAAAAAAAAACTCTAATTCTAGAAGGAAAGAAATAAATTCATTTATTTTCACAAGATTATTTTAATCTCTCACATTATAACATATAACAAAAAAAAACAATACTTGACACTTGTTACTTCAATAAATGGTTGAAAAATTGCTACAATTATAAACTTCCGTGATACAAGAAAATAATGACAAGGTATAAGACGAAGTTCCTGATAGCTTTATATTGTGAAATTGGAGAAATGGTTGAAACAATAATTTAAAACAAAGTAATAGATCTATGTGAATGAGACTTGAAATTATACTAATCTCGTATTTTACTACAGCTTATTGAGCTAATGAAGAATCATAATGATATATTTGTAGCAAAGGGAGACAATTTCTAATAACTGAGTCAAGGTTTTAAAAAATAGGTTATGCTTCAAGTAGTGTTCCCTGATTAAAATTATGTTTAGAATTCATCCAAATGACAATTCCAACGTGTTTAAAGTTAAGTATGTGTTTGCTGATGCTTCACTTACCAGCCAAATAGAAAAGTTAGACCTTTAACAGGAGCCTATCTAGTAAATAGAAAATATCCGAAAGGGGGAGCGGCAAACATGAGAGGTATTAACCTGTGCAACTGTTATTGGATATAAAAAAAAGTCAATACTATTGATCTTGTAACAAATTAATGAACATCTAACTAGTGTTAACCTTCACCCTCTGAAAGTGGAATGAAAGTGGCATTTTTTCTGCTTCCTCACTCAATTCAAAAATATGTATATCTACATCTACATCTACATGGTATACAAATGAGTATCGGTGGTGCTGAAATGGAAACGGTTTCTTGTCTCTATGATGGAAAAATCAACTGAGGCCACGTGTGCTGTTCACATAAAAGACCAAAATGTGGCGC